CTAAAGCCAGCTCAAAGGTAAAAGATTACTTTGGAATGTTTATTTAAACTTTGACACTCAGCTTTGTTTGTGACCATTGGATTAAAATTAATTGTCATTCAAAATTTGATCCCAAGAGATCAGCTTTATCTGGAGTGGTTGTGGAAGGTCGTAATTTTGGAGAATAAAGTTATTTTTGTTGTTTTATTTATGCGACTTAGCATATTTATCACCTCACGTGGGAGAAGCTTGGGAAATTTTTGCAGTCATTCAATGGGCTTAATTTCCTTCATATTCGTATATTGTTGTTGAGACTAATAATAGTAAGTCATTGGTTGATTTACCGCAAGAAGATACTCGTATATTTCATGGGCGAAAAGAACCATTCACTACAAGAAAAATGATTTTTAGTGACAGAAATTTGTGATAAATTTTAAAATTATCACTATAACTTATCATAATTATGACAAATTTAAAAAATTAGTCACGGATGCATACGTATTTAATAATGAACAAAAAAAATTTATCATAAAAAATATATTTCATCACCGAAAAATGTTCGTAGAGATAAGATAAGTTTTTGTTAATAAAAATCATCACTATAATGCATTATAATTATGAAAAAATTCTAATATTGGTCATATATACCTTACACATTCAATGATGACCAAATAATTCATCACTAAAAATTGTCCATTTTTTCTAATCAACGCATCCCATATTGATAAAAAACATATAAAAGAATAAGGTTTTGCAATATAAATATATCCCACATCGATAAGAAATATTTAAGAAAATAAATTTTTGCACTATAAAACATGTAAAACTCAATAAAACTTGAGATTAGTTTGGGCCTGATTAATTTTAATTAGGCTTGATTAATTTTAATCAAAATTTATTAGTATTGAAATAATAATATTTTTTATTAAACTTTTGTGATAAATTTATATATTATTTTTTTGTAACAAAATTTTTGTTAAAATATTTGTGTTGTAATTATATAAATATCTTTTTTATTTATTATCAATTTTAATAATTAATGACTAAATTTTTCATCACAATTGCATTTATGACGAATATTTTTTTGTGACGAATAAAATTATTATAAATAACTTGTTAACAATATCAATTTTTTCTATCCTTATAAGATTATTTTTTGTGACAGGTGGCTATTTTGTCACTAAGAGCATTATTAACAAGGGTTTTACTAACGGTTTAAATTTTATCACTAATAATAATTTATGACGAAAAATAAAGATTTAATTATCAATAATTTAGTCACTAAATGTGGATTTTCTTGTAGTGATCATTGAAGAATTAATGTATTTGAGACTAGCTCTTTTCGTTTTCTTTGTATGTCTTATTTGTTGGAAAACCAACACAGTTAGTTGTTCTTTGTATATTGGGCACATAGACCCCATTATTTGTTGATATCCCTTTTAGTGAAGGATGTCTATTGTACTTCAGCCTGTGTATATGATGGAATGAATAGCCTGCTTTTCTCAAAAAGAGTTCAGTTTTCACCTTTGTTATATGTAAACTTATATGATTGAAAAAGGGGCAACAACAAAAACTCATATTTTTGAATTGGCATTTAGAAACAAATACAAAATTTAATAAGAAGAATTTTTTATTGAGAATTGTTGGGCTTTACCCCAGGGAGCCCTTCTAGAAATTCTCCAAGGCCTGAGAGACTTGCCCAAGCCTAAGAGGGGGTTTAGATATAGTTTTCAACCAGCAATAGATGTGCCTCAGTTAGAACCTCACTAGCCGCGTCATTGCCCCAAGCACAAAGATGATTATTCTGCAAAATGGACATACCTTTTGTTCCTACAGCAGGATGAATGCATCATTTTTACTAGCTGATATGAGATTCGATTAATAACCATGAACAAAAACAACCAATCTTGGCATGATTAAATAATGCAGTTATATTTCTTAGTCACTAATCTTATAACAAAATCAAGAGTTTCCTATAGTATGCATCACTTTTTGTTCTCATAGAATCAATTCATGAGCTGATAATTGTCCATAAACACTCTTATCCTAATGTGTCATTGATGCTAATATTTCCCACTTTCAGTGATACTAACAGTAGTTCCCACTTCCACATAATTTCTCAATTCACAAAGGAGTTTTGTAAAATATAACAATAAACTAAAGAGATAACATTTCCTTACATATAAGTTTACACATGACACTTATACAAAATCTAAATCATTCATCTTTTCCCTCTCAATTATTAAGATTTATTCACAAAAATAATGATATTTATTTACCAAAAAATTATGACATGTAAATATAGTATGTAAAATTTATATATAAGTGAATTTAACTCTAAACAAAAATTGTAGGGTCTAAAAAACGAAAAAAACTTCAACTAAAATTGTAGAGCTCATCACCAAGAGAAGGAGAGCACTCCAAAAATTAGTGTATGCCACTAAATGCGGAGAACATGGTATATTCTTTAGTAAAAGGCGCAAGAATACCAATGACTTGTTGGTTTGAGTAAAAGAAATTTGGTTATCTTATAAATGGAGAAGCATGCGCTGAGAGAGCTTCCTCTTATGGGGTTCGATGCGGCTCGAATCTAAATTAATTGAGACCCAATAAAGTTACTGAATACTAGAAAGTTAATAAAAATTATATAAAAAAAAAGGTGAAAGAATAGTTCGCTTTGTGCTTATTGCGTGGTGGCTCTAGAGCTCTAAGCCGGCTGTATAGAGCCAGCTCTAGACTTTAAGCCGGTTATAATGATAATTCTGCAACTCAAAATTACACAACCTGCAGGGCATTTAATGATACAATATTGTATAATTATACACACAGAATGTAAAAATTGACTAAATTGATTGTATTTATATTATATTTTTAATTATTGAACTGAAAATATGTCAAAAATGTGTTAAATCGATTGTGTATAGATCATTTTCCTTTTTAGAAACATATTGATTTCAAAAAAATTTTAACTTTAGCTAATCAAATCCTGAAAAATCAAGGCCAAGCATTCCACAGACAACTTCCATCCAAGCTTCGTCGCTGCCAAAAAGATTAGGACATTTGCTTGCCCTCGCTCTCCCTCCAAGCCAACCAAAATCTATTGCAATGGCCTATCACATTGCCACCAAGTATCACCAAGCCATTCACCTCCTGCCTCCACGCCTAACTTTGCCAAATTCACCCATGTCCGCTATCCTTCCACCCCGATTGATCCCATTTTGATTTTGCTTTTGTGTTTTTTTTTTTTTTAACAGATCGATTGATCCTTTACTCCTTTATCCCTTTTTCCTAGCAAAAACTTACTTTTCGCCTTTTATCTTATTAAATTTGTAGGTTTTAACCTTTCACTTTATAGTATAACATTTTTAGTCCCTCACATATTAGAATTGAAGAAAATAGTCCTCACTTTATAATATTTCGTTAATTCTGTTAACTGATTGTTAATTATGTTAGTTGATTGTTAATTCTATTAGCTAAAAGTAGGTTTTTTCCAATTAACAGTTAGCTAACAATCAACTAATAAAGTACAGTCAATTAACATAATAGTTCTATTAACTAACTGTTAACTCTATTAATTGAAAGCAGGTTTTTGCTAGCTAACAGTTAGTTAATAATTAGCTAATAGAGTTAACAATCAATTAACAGAACTAACAAAATATTATAAGAGAGGCTTATTTTCTTTAATTCTAATAAGTAAGTGGCTAAAAATGTCATAATATAAGGTGATGGATTAAAACCTACAAATCTAGTAAAGTAAAGGGCTAAGAGTAAGCTTTTGCCTTTTTTTCCCTCAGCCAAGCCTATTCAATTCACTGTGCCCCTACCACCATCCTACCCATCACGAGACAAGCACAGATCCCATGCCTCATCCTCCTA